CTACTACTACTACTACTACTAATCCCGATCTCTGTATTAAGCGCGAAAGCCCAATCGCGAGTATCTGAGGTCCTCCGTCGGACGGAGCCCGGCGCACCGCAAGCCGCAAACGGGCGGAGCGGCTCCTGCTTCACTGCGCAAACACAAACCATGCATGGATGTGTGTATATATGTATGTAATTAGGCATGAATGTATGTTTTAAGTTATGTAAGCATATGTACTAGTATGTGCATGTAAGTGTATCTCTGTAGATGTACCTTTATGCGTATCTCTGTTCATGCCAATGGATATGCGCGTGTGTAGGTACTCGTAGAGGCACATAAAGCACAGGCTGCCTGTAGTTATTATATACTCATGTCCTCATCCTTATTCATACACTTTGCATAGCCCTATCAATTTGGGGGCAACAGCTCTCAACACTCGTCTCTTGTATGGGAAAAAGACCAATAATTGTTACCGGACTTGCTGGCTGGAGCCGCATGAGCACAACTCGATTGAACGACGAGCAGTGTAGTCTGATGCGAGACGACCTGAACTTGCCACTATCACTAGGCGCTCGCTCAAGGTGCTCCAGCACCGGAGTTGAAATTGAGTGAATGAATAGCCTCAAACCCTGAACCCTTCGCCATTGGCCGGAAAGGACGGCCGGGGTCTCTACCCCCCACTCCGGTACACCCCTGATTTGAGGAGGCTTCTGATGTTCTACTACAAGTGTAATAAGAACCTAGAGAATGATTTGTTCCGGCTTCTAGATTACACCCTTTTCAGCATGGGAATTGTGTGCCAGCTGCATTACGCCCTGAAACGCAAGTCCCTGGCGGTCGGCACCTTGGGTTTCGTAACAGCTCGGCTTTTCCAGGGCGGAGTCCCTACCGGAACAGCACGGATTTTGGGAGTCAGGGCCAGCTGGTGTTGTTGATGTCTTGCCTGACCGGCTTCGCAAGGGGGTTTCAAGACATCCCTACAAGATGTTCGAAGGGGGCTTGAAAAACCTTCTGTGCCATTTTCGTCTTCAACTCAGAGTCCGGACTACAGCCTTAAGAACAGCTGCCATGTACAGCGCATGCCAAAAGCTGGATCACCATGCCACATCAAAGGTCCCACCTAAAGATTCCCTAGTACCATGGAACTATTAAAAAAATAATGTCATTTTCCACCCATGGTTCCATTGCTGACTGTTTTATGATGCGGTACACTATTTTCCATGCTATACTGACACTCAGTATAGTATGACATCGTAAATCTACCATCAGATTTACTGTAAACGGTTTATGAGGTCTCGAGAACACTCAGCCGAGAAACATCCAAAGGCGCCGGCGAATGACAGGGAACGTAAGTCATCGCAACACCCTGCACCCCAAACCACAGGATTTAAACCCCTTCTTAAACCCCACCCAACCCCTAACCGTGCCTGAGCCCTAAATCCACAAAAAGCCATAGGTGCTAGCCTGATTACATCCTAAGCTCCCTGCTAATCCTCCAACCGCTCCTCGGACTCTGAAGATTGAAGCGCAGACAGTACAGCAGGGTCTAAACTCTACCTATAGTCTCCATTGTAGTTCCTTTTTGGGGTTACCTGTTAGGATCCTTGATATAAAATTGGTTAAACCAAAAAAGGAACTACAATGGGGACTATAGGTAAACTCTAATTCCTAATCCAAGAGCCTCCCGGCCGGTTGCCGGCAGCCAGGGGCTCTGGCGTGCCGCAGTGCGGCCCAGAGCCTCGCCCCGCACCTTCCCGAGTGGCTATAGTAAAGGTTTAGGGTTTAGGGTTTAGGGTTTAGGGTATAGAAGCCAGATACCTACACTGTAAGCGATCTTGCAAGTCGTTTACAAGTTTAGAAGGGCTGCAAGGGGACTGAGGTTTTTCCCTCCTACGTAGCAAGCAGGGGGTTTGGGGTTTAAGCACGGCTAATGAGGCATTGGGGGGTTCTTGTGAGGAGATCAAAGGCGCCGTATTTACAGCCCTACTACGTGCGGTAGATATTTCTCTTTCTTTTTGCCGGGAATATGTTCCTCTGCCTCTCTCTCCCTGACACGGTCGCAGAAATCGGTTAGACGCAGACGCCGATGTACTGACTGAAGGTAGGAGACTGGCGACATCGAGCGAGTCCCAAGATGCGAAGACTAGGAATGCAGCCGTCAATGTAACACCAGGGAAATGAAGACGACACTTTTTATGCCGTTGGCAGACTGGCAGAACAACAGTTTTCAGGACAAACTCGGGCAGTGCGGCACCATGTGGCACACCCGGTGAAGCAGAATCCGAGTTTAGGGCTGGGGTTAAGGCAGACACGTGTGTAAAGGGGCGGGAGCGCATGCAGCTTATAAGTTTTTGAGTGTTTGGGCTTGTTTTTCTATAATTTTCGGCAACGAGGTTAGCGGGCTTCATAGCTTGCTTCAGCTATGAACTGGTGCCTTCTTGCGGACAAGGTCGTCTTCGAGCGAGTGGAAGGAGATGATTGCCAGGAGGCCTCACGCTATGGACCGACGCTACTCGGTGGTACTCGGTGGTATAGTTCTTACGAAACCCCTGAACCCTAAACCCTATAAGAGTTCCTCATAAGTAAGTACACGGCTCTCCGTCGTCTGTGCTACTGTGTGACCACCCACAAAACTTGCGCCTTGCTTGGTTTTTACGCTGCAATAGCGTGCCGCAAACGGCCAGATGGGGTTCTTGGTTCTCTACGATCCTGCTGTGTAGGGCTCAGGCTCCACGCTGCTGCCATTCTGTGATCCACCAGCTGGATCGTGTTCGGCGACAAGGCCCTTTGTGCCCCAGCACACTCCGATTCTTACTCTAGAAAATCAACCGAGCACCTCACACTGAAACTGAAGGTTGTGCTGCTCAAGATGCGTTATAAACAGCCAACAATCGAATCCTCAACGTGCCGAAACGCCCATATCAGGCCGAAGAATGCAAAGCGCAATGTATACCAACAAGACATCCCTAATAACCTAATAGGTTTATCTATCTTCTGAACCGACTCTGCTACGTTGCCTCCCGGAGCCAGCACTTGCTCTGCCGCCGCGAGAAGTGCCGAAACTGCTGACAACTCACCTGGGAAATGTCAGACTCTCTGCGGTTACTTCTAGATGGGAGGAAGACTACCAGTACTTGGAGAACGATACCAGGAGAACTCACGTTCAAGCACCTGCGCCGGCGTCCTTGCCAGAACCAACATCTCCTCTGACCCAGTGCTGCTTTTGCATCTTGCCCTTCTTTTCGCTCTCAGATGAATATCCGCCCAGCCATTGTGCAAACTCGTTATAAGTTCAACGTCTCGGGAGCTAAACCAAGAGTCGTACTTCTTGACGCTCTTTTCGCAAGTCTGCATAAGGATGACATATGCTAAGCCATGGCAGCTTTGCAACAGGTCTCTTCACGTGACAGAACCACTTATCTAATGTTCCTGCAATGCCGTAGACCATCCACAAACCGGGTACCCTGCTGCAGTAGTTCCGTCTAAGTCACCTGTCGTACACTTCGAATGAAGTCTCGGCATCTTTCGGATGAGACATATTCGATCTATTCTCGATGCTCCGTGAGTTCGGATCTGCACCGGGACCGACTACCCCAAAAGTGGCGGCTAGTGTCAAAATTGCCAGAACTGTGGTTGTGGCTACCGCCATACTCCTCCGACA